AACTAAACTTGTAAATATTCTACTAGTATTATATTTATTATAATACTAGACAGTTAGTCAAACAATATTAACGTATGTAAGAACCAAGGGTTGCTACTAACTTGAAATATTCCACTGTATTATATTTATTTATATATAGCAGTTGTCAAACATATTACGTATGTAAGCCAGGGTTGCTACTAACTTGAAATATTCCACTGTATTATATTTATTTATATATAGCAGTTGTCCATCTGTTTGTCTACTGTCATAAAATCATAAGTTCATATAAGGAAATGGCTCAAACAACTTTGACAAAATTTGGAAGATAAACTCGAGTAGATTACCAAAGATTGACTTTACATGAAGCTAATGCCAAATGCAAGTAATGTCTTTAGTAGCACAGATTTTTTATTGATTGTTTGTAATCATTAGACACGTATGATAAATGATACACACACACACACACCACCCTTTCATCCTTGTGCAGCCAACAAAATAAGTGCTGCATCAGGTGCAAGTATATTTGCTAGTAAGGCATATTACTATAATATTGTGGTATGCAGGCATACCATAAATTTTCTACCTTCTCATTATAATGTAAACATTATAAAATTGTGGTATGCAGGCATACAATACATTTTCTACCTTCTCATTATAATGTAAACATTTTAATATTGTAGTATGCAGGCACACCATACATTTTCTAACTTCTCATTATAATGTAAACATTCTAAAAATGTGTTTGTTTATTTTAAGTCTGTGCTGATTTCACATAATATGTGGTCCAGAAAGCCATTAAGATCATTTCATTCTACCTGTTCTGCCTATGGAGATTTTTTTCTTTTGGAGGGTTGCTATAATGCTGCTCTTTGTGAAGTGTCCTTCAATGGTAGATCAGATAATATCTAGAGGTTATGGCCTCACCTTGGCTGAATGGGAATGACCAGTCACATGGGGAGTGATAGTCATTATGGGTAAATCTGATGCTTACTGTTAAGTGAGAAGTGTAAGATCTAAACAGTCTACATGGGATCTCTGGTTCATAATAAGGCATCTCAAGGGAAGAAAATCAGTTAATTGATTCACAAGTCCAGTGGCAAATGAAATCATGTATACTGTGTTTTTGTCTTTGTTAATAAAATAAAATTGTTTTCATTTTGCATTAAACATCATGTAATTTTCTTTATACTCAGGCAGATTAGTTAAATTCAGTATCAATATGTGATCTATCTTGTCAATTCTCCTCTTATAAAGCCAAACTACTTAATACCCTTTGCGTAAATCAGTTTAACCTGAGAATATTACAATATTATAATGCAGCCTTGAGCAAAGTCTGTTAGTGGTAAAGAGAATTATTGCAATGCATCCAAGTTTAGTAAATGGTGTTTGGTAACGAATGGGTGTAGATAAAAATCATAACACCAGTTCCAATTTATGCATACTCTTTTCTGTGGCCATAACTACTTATCGTAGTCAAAAAAGCTGTATTTTAAGAGACAACCCTCTAAGACCAGATCTAAGAATATATAAACAAAATAAAAGGGATGTATCTAATATTCACGCACTTACATGTTAATTTTAATATACTTACACTTCTCCAAGAACAGGTAAGTTAAATTTGAGTGGCAGGAGATCTTTGTTCATCATAGAAATCATATAATTCTTGAATCTTAGAATTCTATGATAAATATCTAAAAAAAAAAAAAAGAAACTCGATTACTCCCTTTACTTTCTTAATCCCACAAAAACATTTTCACACAAATCATATTTCATGAAAACATAAGAGGACAAAGCTATATTAAAATAAAAAATCTTACATTATTAATTTGCATGTACAAAAGTTAATATTTTCTAACACTGAAAATGTATTTGTGATAGGTACTTACCTCCCTCACCCAAAGCTATCTCGACCTTGATTTGCCCTCTAAGCATTGCTAAAATTTAACAGCACACCAGTCTATTATACCCCTTCATTTCTGCACCATTGCAGCAACATGTGATGATCATGTGACTTCCCTCCGCCAATTATACTGCACCATCTATACTAGAACAGGTAGTTCCCTCTACCATTGTAGCACAATTCTCACTTTCGAGAATTGGCAGATACAAACCAGAAACACTGGCAAATCAGTGGGGAGGAAGAGTAGGAAGTGGGTGAGAAGAGGTAAGGACGTATTATAAATACATTTTTAGTTTTAGAGAATGTTAACTTCCAAAATGGTACTACTTCTTCTCATCCAAAAAAAGAATCCAACATTGTAAAGGTGTAGGGGGCTGGTGAAGGCCAAAAGTTAAACAAAAATAAAGTAATTAACAAACTCCAAACAAAAGTTTAAACTAATGTAACCTAGATTGTAAAAGAAGTATAAAATCTAAGTTGCCCAACACTGAGCAAAGAAGATATGAATGATCCTAAATTATCAAGTGCAGAAGTTACATCCATCCACACTAGCTTAGATAAGTATACCTATGGGGAGTGAGAAAAAACGCTTAAAAAGTTACCCCATATCTCATGGAAAAAAAGAACAATAACTAACCCAGTAGACTATGTGGAGGCATGATATCAGGTGGAAAGTGCCATGAAAAGACAATTTCAACACAGTAGTTATATTCCTCTGCACAAAAACGAATGTACAACAAGAACTCCCTGTGAACTGAAGCCTGTGCTTACCCAGCAGACACTGTTGACCCTGAGACCTGGAGGTAGTGTCAGAACCATTGTCTACTTATGGCAGGAATTTCATCATTCACCATATTAAATCTTAATTTCATAAGAACAAAGTAGAATTCAGAAAACAGAAACATTTTTAAAACAAATGAGTAGAAACAATGGAAATGAAACACAAGAAATCAAAACTTCAAGTTGAAACTGATATAACCTTGTGATCAAGCACAATCAAAATTTTGTAGTCACACGGAGAATGAGTTAAAACACATGTTTAGACACAACAATGCCAATCGAGAATGTGAGGATTGTGCTACAATGGCAGAGGAAGCTACCTGCACTAGTATAGATGCCGTAGTATGATTGGTGGAGGGTACTCACATATTGCTGCAATGGTGCAAAAATGATGGAGAATAATAGACTAGTGCACTGCTGAAAACTTTAGCAATGCTTAGAGGGCAAATCAAGGTTGAGATAGCTTTGGGTGAAAGGAGGTAGTACCTTTTTGGAAATGTTCTCTATATTATTATTCTATGGTTAGAAAGTAAATGTGGGTAAAAAAGTGAAAGAATAATTTTTATCTGACACAATTATTAGCTTTATCTTATTTGATACATATTGTTTATAAGCTGATCATTTATATTTATGGCAAAGCTACTAAAGTTATCTGCCCCCATCTTTTATTTTAAACTACTGACCAGAGGGAAGGCAGTCAGTTGGTAACACTCCACTATCAACACTAAGAGATTCACTGTCACTCTTATAATGCATCTACAGATTTTGTGGTATCACACAGATTCAAAACTGGCATGCCATCTCCACAATCCAGAGCACTATATACAGGGTTAACCCGCACCCCTAAGCTATATAAAAATTAACTTGTACTCATAAAGTGATAGGGACAGGTTTGCAAGAGGTACATTTTGTTAGAGTATGTTAATATCTAAATATATATATATATATATATATATAAAGTAATATGTTCATACACTAAAGGAGTGATTAGATACATTATTCAATAGAAATTGAATAACACTAAAAATAATTTAGTCCAAAAAAGAAAAAAAAGGTGTCTGAGCTAATAGGGTTTTAGGAAGTGGAAGATTTGGAATGATTGGTCAACTAGACAGAGTTAAAGGGCAATGAAACAATAAAATTAAGTATAAACAGATGTAGACTATTATAAGCCTTAAGCTATTTAGGATAAACAACTGTAGTTTACTGTTACAATCTGCAATCATTCTAGGAAAAAAGAGGAAGTTTAAATTTACTTCATATTTTTTTATGGTGGTTACAGAAAGTTAAATCTGTGTCTTGTTTCTTAATATATAAAACATTATATTTACAATAAATTGATAATGACAGTTTTGATTATTATAAAAAAAGACTTACACAGACATCTTACTTTGTAATGGTATCAATATGTCTTTTTATATTTAATTATTACCTAATTCAGAAAGTTCACTCTTATGTATGCACATCTGTTGTTCAGTCTGTACTTCCAAAAGCTTCTGCTGGACCTCATGCCATGTCATGCTGTCCAATTCCTCCTACAAAATTATGTAACAGCTGAATTTTTCATATACAAACATCATTTACTGAATAACTAATATTTGTAAGGTAATTTTTAAACATTTTAGTACACTTTACAAAAATACATGACTTACTACATAAATACACACACACATACAAAATGCAATAAACACATAGTTAAACAAAAGGTACAGGGTTATTTGTCCTGTATAACATAGTTTAGTGGTAATGACTAAATGGCTAGAGCCACTATAAAAATTCTTGTCTAATGTAATCTGGTAACTGCCAGAAAACTTCATGTACAACACTTAAAAGAAATCTCTATGTTTCCTTGAAAACATTACTTTTTAAAAGTCAAATTAAGAACATCTATAATTTTAGTTTTTGTACAATGGAATTGTAATGAAACTTATTAATAGTGATACTTACAGCAGTAATCTTTAAGGCAGAACTATAAAATGCTCGAATCTCCATGTACTGAAAAAAGTGGTAGACTACTTTAACTACCCGTAGCAGCCAGAAGACAAGAGATACAAGCAGACAGATCACAATGGTAGGACTGAAACTGTAAAGTAAGTTTAAATAATTTAATAATGTCTATCACTGTAAAAGGGGGAAAAAACTTTCTATGTATACATTACTCCTATGACTAAATAATGACTACTTTAGCATTTCAGCAGTGACAAAAACAAAAGTAGCTTTACTTTCTATGGGTAATTATACGCATTCTAGAGCAACAGAAGTTAATTGACAAGATGTTTGAATTATAAACAACAGATATCAATATTATATCACAGTTATCATATTTTTTAAATCTTCAAATAAATCACTTTCTTCTGATTAGATAAATGAATTTTGTAAGTCATTATATCATGTTTAAATGGATTGATTCTTTTATAACAATTACATACGTATATGTGTTGGGTCAAAAGTCTACATGCAAAATTTAACATGGTTTTTCCCCAAAATTATTAGTTATAATTTTCCTACACTGAAAACATATTTCCTATAGGTACTTACCTCCTCTCACATAAATAGCTATTCTTGTTCAGTGCTGCCCTCTATACGCAAAAAAATTTTTTCGCATACCAAAAGCCTTCAGCTCCTACGCACCTTACGATCAAATGGTTCTACTGCATCTCGCATGCAATTGATAATGCGACAACCCTCCACCAATAGGAGTGCAACACACTCTCCTAATGCTTGTGACTCCCTCTATTCACTTCTACCAAACTATTAGTTCGAGTTTTAGCAAAAAAAAAGAAGCATCAGTTTTCAGTGGGGAGGAAGGGTGGGAAGTGCGAGTAGAGGTAAATATCTATCGCAATATATTTTGAGTATAGGAAAATTATAATTTCTGATATGGTACACATGCTCACATAAATAGCTAGAATCCCACACTGATTAGGTGGAAGGACCAGTGAGTGTGTGGAAAAAAAGAAGCATTCCTCAAAAGTATCCGAAGAACACTCTAAAAGAGGAGATCCTTGCATTAGAGGATCATATGTGGGAGACTGATCCACTTCTGTACCAGGTATACTCTTTGCCCAGTGTAGAAAGAGGTGTTGCAGACATGGTCAGAAGAAGGGAAGAGTACATACAAAAGGGAGAGAAAAATGGATACACTAGGGATGTGAAACACATAATATCTGAATCTTAATCTCGTATAGTACATTATTGTGGGTGAAAGTAAAAAGGATGTGCCCCTAAACGTAGAGTGGCTAGGGCACGACGAATTGTACACAGCAAGTCAACAGCATCCAAAACCCAGCTTCTGGGAATCAAAATCCATGTGAAGGTAGGAAAGAGAATCATACCGGCAGAAAATCAACTGCAATCCAAAACCAAGCCATCTGGTGGGAGTAGGAAAGAGAATCATACCGGCAGAAAATCAACTGCAATCCAAAACCAAGTCATCTGGTGGGAGTAGGAAAGAGAATCATACCGGCAGAAAATCAACTGCAATCCAAAACCAAGTCATCTGGTGGGAGTAGGAAAGAGAATCATACTGGCAGAAAATCAACTGCAATCCAAAACCAAGCCATCTGGTGGGAGTAAGAAAGAGAATCATACCATCTTCACCTCAAGTTCAGCAGACTAGAGGGAAATCTCGGACCCACCAATCTGTGAATGGGACACATGATAGCAATGTGATAACTTGTTTGACCAATCTGGGAACCTGACATCTGGATGATTGGCATAACAAAGATGTCTCTGTAATTAAGCTATCTCACTCAAAACCAATCTGACCAGAACCACCCCCAGCGCAATAACATCCTCAGAATATGAAAAACATCGAGAGACAGCATAAGAGGAAAAACCGTACTAATATGCAAGTTCCGCCACAGTGACCCACAACACAGGCAGAGTGAACAAGAGTACAATTGAGTGAGGGAACACAGACACCAGTAATACACGTGTGAGGACTTATGTTGATTGGTTCAGCTCTGAATTCAAAACCCAGCCACTGGAAACTGACATCCACATAGGGATAGGATAAGGGATCCCAATCGATGGTGTGAACTGCAATTTTGACAACTCATTCCAAAGATACAACATCCCCTTGGATAGACCCGTATGGAGATGGAGCATCATACTGGAAGACATCTCATCACCTACACTAGCAGAACACCACCACCTTACTCTGAAATGAATGTTTTCATTATTGTTTGTATCGTGTACCACTATCACATTCAGGAGGATGCCTCCATGGTCCACCACCCCAGCAGCTTGGAATTGGAAAATGGTAAGGACTCCCATACACCACTGGAAGAAAAATGGGGGAGAAAATGTTGTGGAGAGTTCAGAGGAACATCTACACCAGAGAAAGTGCAATGGGTGACTATGAAACCGTATTTTGAAAAGCAGATTAAACCTGATTTATTCAATCTAAGGAATGGCAGAAATGGGCAGCTAACTCTTTCTACTTTACTCACAAAGTCCATGGATTAGTACGGTCTGGAATGGGTATATTTATGAAGCAAACATAGCATGAGGAATAACCTTAGAGCAATCTTGTGCAACACCCTATCTCTACTTTATGCAATTGTAATGAACAATGTGCATTTTGTAGTCATGGAACTTATGAAAGTGAATCAACATGGCCTTACAGTGTGGGTTCTAGTACAATTTTAAGTGATTGAAGTATAGCTGGACCGGCACCACTCGTCACAGAGTGGGATCCTGTTCAAAATATGGGACATTCCTTGTCGCCTTCTTCCTGTAATCAGTTCCTTGTGTCTTCATTCCGATCAGACACCTTCCCTTTTCCCTGTATATCAAGCACTGGGACTACACCTCATATGTTCATCTTCTATTATCTGCTTTGAGTAGCTGTTTCTTCCTTTTCGGAGTACCGTTAACCACCTGTTGCCATCCTTCACTCTTCAATGTGGCTGTAACTGGGTAAGTTTTCTTTCTTTTGTTATATATATATCTTATTTTTCAGGGACATAAAAGGCCAATCAAATCACAATCTGAACCCAATGGGTAAGGGAGGAAGGGAAAAAAAATCACAGACAAAGGAGTGGTGTAAGGGAATGAAACGGTGGGAAATGGATTCAATGGAAAGAAGCCATAAAAGCAATAAAGCAACCCACAGCATGTACTGGACAGAGAAGGTCAATTGGATCCAACTGAAAATAAAGATGGAAGATGGCAAGAAATGAAAAAAATCTAAAAGAATATGCTACATGAGCCCCCAAAGTGTAGGTTAGTAAAATCAATCCAGAACAAAAGAACATATTGAGCCAAAACAAATGAGAAAACTAGATCTGTGCTGGCCGGGAAGGATCAATCAGAAAGACCTGACCCGGAGCGACATGAATGAACAAATCATCATAGGAAATATACTGTTGGAATGAGAAAAACTACAGTTATAAACTGGATCTAATTCTGTCTGAATGTATGAACAGCCAGGGCAAGTGGATGATGAACCGGAGACTAAAAACAAAGGAGGTAACTTAGAATCAAGAAAGGAGTAAAAATCTTCACATGGAGGAGTACCCCACAGGAGGCAGAGCCACCAAAAATTTGAGGATCAAGAGACCACTCCTTGGGAGAAAATGTGTCAGGACTGGAAAGGCAATCAGCAACGAGGTCAAGAGCACCTGGAACATGACACTCCAGGACACATGTGTCAAGTGTGTAGGTTCAAAAAGGGAGATCCACTGTCTGCCACAAAGGGAAAAAGAATGAGTGTCCCCTTGGCAAGAGATATAAACCACCCCCCCAGTGAAATAGTGGAAATGACTCGATTATCAGATCCGAACAAGGGGAAGAGACTGCCAAAATGACAAGGTGTTAATGTGATAAAGACAGGCAACAGAGATCCTAAGGACATATAATCAAGAAGTAAATCTGCTGATGGTAAGTTCAGGCAAATACAACCAAAACTTGTGTAGGGTGAGGCTTACAAATACCCATTCCCAAAATAGAGACAAAAATGCTCAACATGAAACACAATGTCTAGAGAAGGAGGTGAAAATTCTACTGTGAAACATGTTTAAAAAAAAAATGTAAGTTGGTCTAGGAGATCCTGCAGCCTGGGAAGACAAATCATGATCAGGTGGAAGGAAACTGACAAAATCTAAGTCTTCTGAAATGGGCTTGGCCATTGTAGGAGGAAGACGAGCAATATTGGGAGAAGGTAGGGTGGATCCTGGTCTCCAGGGGCTCTCACAAACGAAATTAATGGTAAGAAGTATAAATTATAAAGAATGATGAAAATGAAATAGTCGATATATTGTAAATTTTATGAAATTGTGTACTGAAATAAACATATGTATTAGATGTAATGTGTTGAAGAAAACAAGTTACTTAACCTAGTTATCAATTTACCCGTAAGTATAACTGTAGGTAAACCAAACATAACAGATGCTTGTTAAGCCTAATTGAACAGTGCAGGACAAAGTATATAACTAAGCATGAAATTAAAAACCCTAACCTACCAACAGGTATGTACAATGTCTGGAGAAGATGCTTGTGCAGACCCAGGCTTCAGGGTTGCTCCGAGTTAAGATGTAGAAGTATAAAAGGTAAATAATAATGAAAATGAAATACAAATTATACTGTAAAATTAAGTAACTGCGTATGAACAATAACATATGTATGAGGCGTGATATATGGATAAAAACAATATAGTTAACCTAATGATTGATATACCAGTAAGATGAATTACAGGTTATCCTAAAATAACCCATGTTAAGCCTAATTGAATGGTATAGGACAAAGGGTGCAACTAAGCCTAATTTCAAACCTGAACTTGTCTCAGAGTATTGACCAATCTAATGAAACTTATGTTATGGAACCCAAATAACTACAGATAATAATATTAACAGTAAAAATATTCAAAAACCATAACAATATAATGTCTTATCTTTCCAAAGACAGTGGACTGTATTTCAAACGTGTGGGCTCCCAAACTAGAGTTGAGGCCTGACAAAGGTAAGTTCATTGGATGACCAATCTCCTGATGAAATAAAGCTGATAAATCCACAGTGGTTTACCGCCACCTGAAGCTTGTGTAAATGTGCTGATAGAACATATAACCTACAAAGTTGTCACTTAGAATTTAGAATTCATAATTCAAAATGAATAACCAAACACAACTGTGTTGGTAGAAATAAATAAAAAGTTTTTGTGATAAAGTAATAAGTTCTGTAACTGGGTAGAAATATAAAATAATTACACTTCAGAATAACGCAACAAGTTACAAGCATCACTATTGTATAATAAATAGTAAACTTGTTGAGATAAATTGACACAAGAACATGAGAGAAAAAAAAACACTTGAAGAGAGCACAAATTAAACGTCACAACATGACCACTGCCAAACTTGAAGTGATATTTCAGTAAAAGTGAATAGAGGGAGTCTCATGCATCAGGAGAGTGTGCTGCATGATGCAGTTGACCATTTGATTGTAAGGTGCATGGGAGCTCGAGGCTTTTGGTATGCGAAATGATTTTTTGCATATAGAGTGCAGCCACGAACAAGAATAGTTTTTATGTGAGGAGAGGTAATGTACCATATCAGAAAAAGTAAATATGAGTAAATAAGTAAATACAGAGGAATCAGTGTTTATTTATGCTTGCAACAAAAACACTTAGTTTTTGATTTGGAAAAGGAAAAAAATACAAATTTTCATGTTCTCTTAGGTTGTTTATGCACTCTCATAATAATCTCTTCACTACAACTAAAATGATGTGGTTAAATAATTATCATCAGATTAAAAAATGTAAGATTTCTGACATGGCACAGGTATCTTCATCAATGATAGGCATAATTAAATCAATTTTATAGTTAAGGGCAAAGATCTGTATATAACCAGATTACTGCTGTTATTTATATGCAGGCTAAAAACGTTAAACTTCTTCTTTTCTTTCTTATTTATGTAGAGAAATGATGAAGACATGGTAACACATAAACATTTCTAGAACTTTTTCAAAGGATTAAAGAAGAAAAGCTTTTGATATATAAGTATGGCCAAATAAATCCTTAAACAAATACAGATTTTGGTATTTCTTACCCTGCAATACATTGACCTGCAGGAACAATGGCATCAGCAAGAGTGATCTTGTTTCCAACTGTGATATTGTGTTTTGGTTGGACATCTTTGAAAAGCACTGAGTACTCCACACATTCCATCAGGAACACAGAAAACATAACCACAAAAATGAACTGGCTATAGTTGGTAGAAAAAAAAAATAATTTGATTATTGAGCATCAGAGTATATAAACAGATACCAAACAAGTGAAAGCACATCAAATTTCCTCAAGTCCAACTTAACATTATAATACAGTAAATATGAAAATTTTAAAGATGTTAAAATATTAAGACTTCCAAAATGAGATTTTAGACTCTATGATCATGAATCAAAGAAGAAAAAGAAAGAAAGAAAGAATGTCAGAAGCTACATGTAGATTAAATAAAGTCCTTAGAATGAAATGATGGGAGAAAACTTTGAAACACAAGTACAATTAAATATAAAGACAGCTTTATTTTGTTTGGGCTAACAGATCTTAATGGTTAATAAACAGCATAATACTACTCATTAGATCATTCCAGAACTGCATATCTTGTGTCATGAAAAGGGGTATATGAGCTTCCAATTTTTTTTAAACTTATTAATTTTTTTTAACCTGGAGTACTTTTGGAAACCCTACTGACTTCATACAAAATTTTATCCAATCCAATGAGATTCATCACTGAAGACCAGAATAATCTGTATTTCATTAAAATCTCTATCTTCCATACTCTATAATATTCAACTCAAAAATATTTCAGACAGTTATCTTTGAAACAGAAACAAAGAAAACTCACATAATTCCAAAATAATCTATAGTTTTTTGGGCTTGTTCTTTTATAAGATTGTAGCAAAAAATGCTACAATGACCAAAAATATACTTTTGTACAAGTCCAAACTACAGCAGAAAATGTAATAAAGAGGTCATAACTTAGTACAACACAGGAAGGAAATGCCTATAGGGATTATCCAAATTAATCCTAAATTTGAGTGACCATCCTAATCAGCTATGATCAGAGGTACAGCAGATGACTTCATCATGATAAAACACCTCAATCTTGAAAAATGCTCACCTATACTCTCTTTAAAATTATTAATATCAGAATAAATGACAATTAATAACAATAATAATGTTATGAAATTCATTCAAAACAGCAATGTTCTCCTCTAAAAAAAATAAAAATTAAATAAAAACTTAATTTTCTCGAATGCCAATAAATTAAGTAAATATCTACAAAACAACTGCATTTTAAATTAATAAATAAATCTAATATGATAATAATCAAGCTACACAAAAATATTCATTTCCAAAAAAAGGGTCAATAGAACAAATTTTATTCTTTATAAGCAATATGAACTTTGATCCCAGAGAGTTTAATCAATTTTGTATATGCATAATTTTAATTTTACAGTCTTAATCTTTTTCTGGGAGACTTAATCACAGTAGCTACAAAAAGTTTCATATATTTAAAAAATACTGAATATTGGCCAATAACAAATAAAGAAAGTAATAAAGATAAATACGTAAAATAACACAATATCCTATATAATAGCCTAACAGCTTAAGTTTTTTTCTGCAGGAGTATCTTTAAACCTTAATAAATAATTTCATTGTTCAGTTAAATGCTTTTAGTCACTAAGGTTTCGAACCATTCCTCATTTCAAATTAAAAAAACAACAACAATGAAAATAATAACTTACATTAACTCCAGTACTTCCTGTAACATCATACAGGAAAATCCATGCTTTTGATGATAATGATATACTTGCAACAGTTAAGGAAAAAATTGGAGTGATAAGTAAACATAATGCCAAAATAATATTCAGATAATATTTTTAGGTGTTAACACACCCTCATATAAAAACCTGCTACAGAGAACAAAAATTAAATCTATCTTTAAATTTCCCTTTACTAAAAAAACTTCTTAACTAATTTTAATTTGGATATTCAATCTTTATGAAAACTCGGAAATGTAAAAAATAGGTGACAAACGTTTATATTATGAATAACTAATGAAAATAGTAATTTTAATAGCTTTGTTGAAATAAGCTGTGGACAAAAGGTTAGTTTCTGGTTTCAGTATGCTGCATAACAGACTATTAAGTCATACAGGATTTGAAAAGAAAATATGTTTAATAGAAATATCTTGAAAAAGTTTAAAACATTGTAAAAATGTAGTTAAAAGGTTAGGTACAGATAACAGTGACATATTTGATGAATTCTAATATTCTATGTATATATATATATATATATATATATATGTACTGTATAGGTAGTTACTGATGTACAAGTTCACAATTGTCTATTTCTTATTATTACATTTTCCTGTAACTGGAATGTATGATGAAATGTACTGTCACTTCCCATTTTATTGAATAAGCCCTTAAACATATTTTTCACAGATTAAGCAGAGATGTCTATAACTTATGTAACATCTAGAACATGGTTTAGAAAGAATGGGGTAACACATGAGAATAAATGATGCAAATCCCAAAGCTAGATAATTCTCCACAGGCTATATATATAAAATGTTCATGATATGCCAACAAATTACATCTCACTTACTGCTAAAAGATACATTTATGTAAAAAAGTAATTCTAACTAAGTTGATCTTGTAAGCTGAGTTGTAATAATAACAAACACTTACAGGGAAGTAAAAAAAATCTCTTAAAGACATCTACATTAACTTGGACACTTAAGCTTAAACTGACAATAGTTAAAATGCTTTTTTGGCCATGAACATTTAAAATGAGTCCCAGAAAAACATCCAGCTAGCGTGATCTTTCTGATATCAATTATGTGACTGTGTATTGACTTTTACCTTTCACTGTGATATGTTTTAATATCTTTGCTTTGTATCACAACTATTTCACAAAAGTATTAAAGTATTTAAATTATTCATTAATAATATATTTTGAGAAACATCTGATATTTGAAATTGGCAAATGGGGGACTGCATAATAAAATACAATTTGAAAATTAGAAAAAAAACAACAACATAAATTTTGCAGTTTCCTGAAATACTAAAACATTCTCATATAATACTAATAAATAACATTATGTTTTAAAATCTAGATTAGCCTTTGAAATTTTCTTAAAAATAGTCAACAAATGTAAGCTGTTATTTTTTATACAAGTTTGCAAAGAAATACAGCATGTTTCTTTTTTGTCAAAATTTCATTTTAGTTTTGCTTGACTATTCATGGAAGATTATCAGTTTGTTAATAACTATTTTCCAGGAGAAGTTGAATAAAAGGATATTCTGGTAAAAAAAGAATCCAAATCTTCTATGTGATTCCATCGTGCTGATGCAAAAAACAAACAAAAGCATTACTTATATGCTGAACACTTCACTTGGAAAATAATTAATAAACATGTAAGTATAATAACCATAACTCATTTAAAAACTATGTTCTTTTAAAAACATGCAATACATAAAATTTCAAACTTAAAAGAATAAATAACTGCAATTTCTGCAAATTCAAATGTTACACATGATTTTCAAGTTCATTATTTTTAACAAAACTCACTAAATATGTTGAAATTAAGCTTTGTACAACTTGTTAAGCCCCTGATGTACTTTTATAATGCCACTATAAGTTTTTATTGGATTCTTGGAGACCAAATCTTCAATATTTATTTTTTGCCCTCTTACTAAAGAAAGGTTATTAACATACTAGAAAGAGTGCAGACCAGACTAATACAGTCTTTCTGCTGGGAAAAAAAAATCACTGCTGCTCACAGTGACTGATTACTAATTATTTTATTGATCACAACACAAAATTAAATGATCATTGCCCACCACTTGTTCATTCTTAACTTTTAATAAACTGATAAACACACACACACACACATTTATGAAGAGAAAACTACACTAGAGAAAAAAATCCTTTATTGTAGCAGGACTATTTCTAATTAACAATTGGTTCATGGGCTCGGTTAAATTGTCTGACTTTGTATCTCTGAAGCTATACATACTAATGTTTAATATAATTCTGAAGTTACAGCATGTATCTTCACAAAAATTGGCAAGCTTTAAGTAAACATTCCAACTCTGTTGTACACAAAAAAATTTTTTTTTTAATAAAGTATTTTTGCTAAATACATGTCTATGAATTTCTGAAGCCTTTACCGAGTCTGTCAGAGTGAAAGGTGATTTTTTATGCTAAGAATAAAATTACTTCACTTTACAGCTTCATTTCTAATTTTTATTACCTATAGAACCTCATAAATGAATATCAAAAGTTTTTTCACAACTGTTCCTGTTTAATTTTATAGTTCTTATTGCTGTAATCCTCACATCTATAGCAATGAATCAAAGTGGGAGCCAATCAGCTGTTTCTTGTAAAGGTAATGTAAACACCACATGATTGCTGAGTGTAATGCTTTACAGAATGTTCTAGGTCATAAAATTTTAGATGTTTTATTTTATTAACATTCTATTAGTCTAAGAAACACAGATTTTAAGTACTTACTGCATGCTTGAGCTCTTTTACACTCAAGTAAAGATTTGGGTGTCCAAAAAGATTTAATATAGCTTTCAAATATACATTTTAGATCACCCCAAAATACATTAGTCATTAAAATAGAATGTTTCAAAACTACTGTAATTTATCCAGCTTTCTAAGTAACCTATAAATAAGTAAATAAATTCATATACCAAGAAATTCTGACAAATAATAGTTTATGACATACAAACAAAACAATGACTTGTGAGATTTATGTAGAGGAGAATGTGGTTTTTCTTTTGTTTGTAAACACCCATTAACCATAAAATGTACATTAGCAAACAATCTCACCAATCAGGGAGAGAGATGAAGGTTTTTTTAGGAGAGTGGCAAACTAATTGATATCTCAGCAAATAATCAAGGTAGGATATTCAAATTTTAGGTGTCTGTTTGTTACTATGTGTAGTCTGTTTCTAATTGGTTGGGAACTCCAGCAGTGGACACATACTTGACACACAAAAATAAAGATTGGGAATATTTTTAATATTTCTTAAATATTTCCTTTTGAAATTAAGACTGACTTAATATGTCTGTGCTAAGAGGTTTTCCAGTCTGTCAGACTGACTGACAGTTTATGTCTTTGCTAATCAACTAGCTTTTGAAATAGTTTCTGAAAAGTGGCTTAAAACTGTCTTTTCACAGATGATATATTTGAGTGGTGGGATCAAATGTTGGAAGTACAAACCTGAATATCAGAGACAACAGGTTTGCACTTTGGAAGCCAGATGTGAACCTTATCTTCAGAATAATAGTTTTTCAATATAATAATAAACTTATGGAATAGTTTGCATGATATGTGAAGTGTGCAGTTAGATGAGTTACTTGATAATTTAGTTTTAAAAGCATATGGTTGTGAAGGCCTATTGCAGCTTGGATTAATATGCATTTTTACTTGGTTTTGTTGATGAATGGTGACCTTGATGAGCTCAATAGCCTTCTGCTACCTACTTTTTCTATTTTTATTAACAATCCAAAAATGAGTTCAATTCAAATTTAATCTACACTATAAATAGTTAAAGCATTTGGCTGTTTCATGACTACTTGTTTACCTGTGTTCTGTCTTTCAACATAAGAGCTGAAATTTTCAACCATTGGTAAAAGAAATAAGGTTCTTAATTGACCTACTTTAACTATATTTACCTTTCCAAAAAGAGTCTGTCTACAGAAGTACATATATTGATGTAAGATATTTATACACATTAGTATATCAAAAGCCAGGAAACAATGGGATATTTTATCAAGTTATTAATACCTTGAATACTTTTTTGTGTTTTCCAAGTGTTCAACACTAAGTGCCTTAGTGAATGCCATATTCTGTTTTTCAAATACTAAACAGATATAATACACATCAACATATCTATAAAATCTACTTACCATGCACATAATTGTTTACCTTTGCTATATTTTAACCCTAAAATTGTAAGCTGATAGTAAAGAATGGCAATATATTCAGCCATTCTATAGCATTGTAAGCCAATGATGACCATCATTGTAACAAAGACAGGCAATGTCAGCTATTAGAGTAAAGCAAGGTGGACAAGAAAATAGAAAAATTCTTTTGTACATTTTGAGATACGCATGAACAAACCTACACACACACACAAGTTAATTCTTTGAACTTTATGTAAAAAAAATATTATGAAAAAGTTACTTTAATTAAAAAATATATATACTTTTGGAGCAAAAAACATATTTTTATTAAAACATAAGACAAGTAGGAACAAACCATTGGTATATATTTGTATAAACAATGGGCAGGACTCACCAGTGCCCCTTTTAACTATATTACATGTATTTTGACTTAAAAGGTATCCTCACAAAGACAAGTGAGTTGTATCATCATCACATCTTCATGATCATCACTTACATTTTGCACTGTCAGGAACAACATGGATCAGCATCCCCCCTTCCTGAGGGGTATCTGCTTCACTATCATTGTATGGTGTCAAGGCTTGATAGCCAGTCTGAAGTGGTGTTGTCATAGCAGTGGTTCACAAGTGTCATTCACAGTTCTGGTCACTATACAGATGCTCAAATTGAAAAGTTTCCATCAGTAGGAACCCAAAATACACAGTGTTTTATTCCTGTAAGAATCCATCATAACTGTTCAACCAACTTGGTCAGTATATAAACCTGTAAAATACGTCACCAACTAGAATGTCAGTAGCAAAGTTATATGAATTTTAGATATATTACCTATTTTAATTGTATTATAATTTCTAATACTGACAACACACACAACATAATAAAGTACTTATAAAAATATCACTTCTTAGGGTTTCATTCTTAATTGTTTCAGATACATTATGATATATGAAGTATTTTGAACTTTTGTTAAACATGTGTATGGATATGAAAAAGTAAACTAAATTAAATTTTGATATCTTATTTCATTGTTTTCACAGGTGAGGGTTGACATCAATGGGTCAAATGACTTTCTAACTCTGGGTGGTTTAAGCAGTGGAATAAAAAGGTAAGAAATTAAAACTTGAATACTAGGGGTAATAAGTTTAGTCTAGGTTTGTAGATTCTGAAAGGCAGGAGGTATCCTCAATAAACTGAAAAAACATGCTAGTGGTTTCTGAAATTATATGCAACTTAAGACATTTAGGCTGCAAAGTGGGACTTAAGAATTTGTTTTTTTTCTGGGCCATACAAGAACTGGATGTAACTTGATTATATGTTTATAATTATTAGATAATTGGCTTATCTATCAATTTCTTGTTTGGATAAACCATGTAAATATTAATCCCTTAGTGATAAGTGAAAATATTGTGAGATCAGAAACAGATAAAGCACCAGAATTAGATAATATTCTCCCACGGTTTTAAACTTGGCCAAACATCAGATATACAAACCTTGCTATTTATTTTTAGCAGGACAGTGGACAGGTAATTGAGGATTGGACAGTTGTTAATGTTCCTCATATTTTAAAAAGGGTGATAAGAGTCGCTTTGGAATTTAAAGAGCATTTAGTCTTAATTCTGTAGTGAGAAAAACAAGCTTTGGAAGATCATTTAGTGCAGTATACCATAAAAGACAGTAAACATGGACTCATAAATGCAAATCTAGTCTCACTAATCTGTTACCAAGAATGTTACTTGTTATATGAATGATGACAAGGGTATAAACTAGAAGTACTCCAATTTTAAAAAAGCTTTTTACAAGATATCAAAAAGAAGATAAGCCAAAAACCATCATATCAGTGGGGGTTGAGAAAAGACTAATTAACTACATTTAAGACATTGCTATTATGATACGCAAGGTGTTTGGAAATGTCTTTTGCTCACATAGTAATCTTATATTTGTATAAAAACTTCAAGAATATACAGCATTGATCCTAATCTTGTGAATTATTCAGCCAATCAAGTTGTTTAAAATACTAGAAAATAAATGTGATGCCCAAACTATCATTCAACTTACCACTTGTCTCCCGAGTTATAACGGTTACTGGAAATTCCACCCCTCATTAGTTACCCTAAGCAAGGGCAAATCGAAAAAAATAAGACTAACCACAAAACTGGATATTTGGGCAATAAAATATGCTTTTCTACAAGTTCTTTTTAAACTAAAAACCACCTCTGGCAATGTTGATATTGTGAGTATTCACCCCTCCTTCAAAGGTTTGAATTAGTTATCCATGTTTTTGCACTTGTTAAAAGAATTTAACAACTCAACAAAATACTAAATTTGTAAACAGAATTTTATAAAATTACATACCAAACTTATTCAGAACTGAAATAAAAATATTTTCAAACATGCTTACTGCACAGGCTTTTTCTTTAAACTATAAAAATGTCACATTTTTATTAGCATCAAATGACAATCAATACTCTAAAAATTGGCTTTTAAAAATAATTTTGATGCAATATATGTAAATGGTGATCAATAACTTTTGCATAAGAAAAATGTTCTTGTTAAATCTTAACAACAAAGAAATTAACAGATGTCTATAAAAGTCACTTTTAGCAGCCCTTAATTGTTTTTTGCATATTTATACTTCTTTTTTATATTCATAAGCAACTATTCTGCTAGCAGAAGGTGTCAAAATGTGACAAAAAATACACAGAACTGTGGTATTTCAAGCCAAAGCCTAAAACTAAGAGCTACTGAATTATATTGGAAAAGTTGTTTACAAAGCTTCCTTGTAAACAAAATTTTCAATATCTGCACCTTCAGGAATATAAATTTTTAACCAATCAAAGAACCATAACTTGGATAGAACTATGAAGGGCTGACCATGAGAAAACATTGGTTCAGCTAAGTGATTAAATTACTGTAAGATATTGTTATTAAGAGTCCACTAATGCTGGAACTTTCTTACAAATTATGTGCTTAGGATTACCTTCTGTTATGTATTTTATGGAATCATTCCTTCTTCAGTAATAAAATGCAGCATTCAGTTTCAGATAGATCTGAGGATAATCTGTTCCTTACTTTTCCTAAGGTGCATTATAGTTTCTATTTAAACCTTAATTTCCAACTTAATGATAATGCTATAAATCATCAAGCACCAACAAGTGTTTCTTTGTTTTACAGCTGTTCAGGTGGGAATTTAGGTGTGCTTCACAAGTCAGTGCTTTGGAAATTGATTTTTATAATAATCAGTGTACTAGTAAATTTTGTTGATGACAATAAACTCTTAGGTATTTCTAACTGTACTAAAAATGTTGACATACTCAGAATAATTTGGATCAACTGGTTAGTTCAATATATATCTGGCAAATAACCTTTGTTCTGTTGGTGTATAGTATACCCATAACATTCATAATAATCAAGTTAGACTTTGTTTTATACCCCCCCCCCCCAACTACATAATACACACACACACATTTTGGTCCCAAGTTCAACCCATGTTCTGAAGACAATAGGAAATTTGGAAAATGACAGGTTTGACTCTAGTTAAGACAAATATCTTTTTCTTACAAATTGTTTTTTGTTTGTAGTTTTTAGCATTATAAGTCTACAGACTTACTGCTGAACCACTGGGGTATTCTAATAGGTTGACTGACTTGCGGAATGAATTGTCATAGGCCAGCATTTTACAAGAGAGGAATTCAAATTTCCTCAAAAATAAAAGGTTGGTTTTAAGTTTTTACTTTTTTCTCAAGACGGGTATGTAGGAAAAGGACCACATGTTATGTTGAAAACTGCATGTAATTGTAAAATCAATATACAAGTCTTCTTGTTCATGTACTATTTGAGAAAGATATAAATGAATTTTACTTTTAGAGTTGATTTACACTTATTTGTTGTACCTATTGACTTTTAGAGTACTGAGATATTGAAAACTTTCTTTACTTATAATTTTGACTTATCAACAGAATTATCATTTTTCAGTCTAAAACGCTTCTAAACTTAACTTTGTCTTTTTGTTCATAACAAGCTTAGTCTTTCTTCTGCTCATCTATTACTTTGTAAGGGACTCAATTCTCAGGAAATAATGTATGATCTCAAAGCCATAATTAACATGAAATATTTAATAGGAATTTAACTTTTACATTTTAAATTTAACTAACCCGAGTAATAGGCTATTTTAAATATTTTATAATAGATTTGTAACTTGCTTTGTAAAAATTTGAAGTATTAATTTGTTGAAGTCATGTTATTAAGATCATAGACAGTTTCATTTTTGCCAGGTGTACATTTCTCCTACAATGCCCTATTACCAATAATTTACACTGAGATCTCTCTTAAAGAAAAAACATGAAAACTGTTATTAAATTAGAATTTACTAATTAATGACTTTTTCTTAAAAAGAAATCGGGTAATCAATAGGACACTGTGGTATTTTGCATTAAATAGGCAAAAATAAAACAGAATTTATGGATACATCGGCTCTTATTGTACATTCCCACTGCCTTTAAATTTGCCATTTTTATGACTACATACACAAGTCTTTTCTAATTGGTTAAAAATACTGCTTAAAACGATTATGGGGTAAACAATTTTGTTTACATTCTAGCTATGGTAAAACACCATTACTGTTATTAAATAATGCCTAGCACCCCTGAGTTCATTTTTATGTGAAACAAGTATCAGACTGCTTGTCAAATTATCTAATATGCACATTTTGGTGAAATATAAAAGACAAAGAAATAAAGTGTGTTCTCCAAAAAAAGATATTCAGACATTTTCACGATATGGAAAGCAACAGGTCAGTTAGATGCCAGTGATTCACAACAGGCCATTGCAGCATGACTACAAGGCTCACAAACAGTGGTTAGCATGATGCAAAGTTGCATTTAAGCCACCAACACAGCAGACCAAAAACTTGAACAGGGTAGACCATTGACAATAAACCTACAAAATAACCACTATTTATTTAACAATATGAGCTTTATGCAACCATAAGGCCACAACTTCCCAACTGGATCAAAAGTTTAAAATAGCAACAGGATGTTGTCAACATACAAGTGGTCAGAAGGAGGTTTCATAAAGCTGGCTTTTATTTCAAATGACCAATGCTATGCATTCCTTATGTTTTTCTCATCCACTCCCTAATCAATGCCTATCTTCAGTGACATCAGGAACATATGATTTGATCAAATGACATGTGAGCAAATGACTTGTTTACAGACAAACCATGCTTCACACTGCAGCTAGGTATGAGACAAGTGCCTTATGGCTGAAACCAGATTCAACTCCAATTTCATGGAGTAAAGTCTAAGTTATGGCAGTGGCCAGACTAGCTACACTGATCTTTATATATACGATGTGGCTCTGTGAATGTTGCAAGAGAGAAGGATGCAATCTTAAAATCATTAATGTTGCCATATGCAGTTTGATAAAGCTTTCTAATGGATGATAATACAACATCCACTGTGTTCAACTGATCAGCAACTTACTTTAAGAGAGTAATGAGCAACTGGACTAGCCAGAATGCTCACCAAATTTGTACCCGACTGAACATATATGGGATGTTCTGGCATGATGAGCTAGAAGCAGCTGTGATACAGAAGCAAGTCAAGTTACTCCAAATACTTACAAGTTCACTTATTCTTAACTTCAACATTCCACAGTGATATACATGTATTACTATTAATGTCTGAAATGTTAATATCTTAATCACGAATATTTTGTTATCATTTACTAAGCTTCAAAGCGTGTAATACAAAATAAGAATTTGTGGACATATACTGATATACTCCAACAGTAGTTATAATTATATGATTATCAGATCACATAACTGGTCACCTATGTCTGTTTTGTAAAAACGAGAGATATGGGTTCCCATTAATGTTATTTGATAACAGCAATTATGTGTTTTCTCAAATGTAGAAAACAGAAATTCTGTTTATTGTTTAACTGTTCTGAGCAGCGTGCTCCAGTTTTACAGATTACACTAACGCGTAAGGTTATCTATTCTACATTTATTTTAAGTTAAATGCTTGCTGGAATTAATAAAAGCATGAAGCAGAAACTACAGTACTAGCATTATAAAAAATACATTTAAAACTGGATGAACGTTTGAATTTACATAAACCAGTAAAAGGACTATCGTTCGCTCTAAAACTTAAACGTTACAAGTAACAGTAACTTAAGTAAAAATAGGCCTACATCTGTCAGTCATAACGACGTTAATAGTACATAGTATATTAGTAGTACACAAGGAACACAATCATAAAAACACAAACAGTAAATAAATTAGCATCGCAACATTATGTTATTGATAATATTAAAATTCTTTTAGCTAAATACTAATTGCTAACGTTAAAAGTGGGGTAACCATAATTAACTGTAAATTAACTGATGGAATAATGGAAAAGATAATTACCTTATAATAAATAACTAGTTAGTATGTAAACTTCTGCTAATATACGTTCTATTTACAAATGACACAGATAAGCTATTAGCACGACACCTATAGTTTGGTGTACCCACTATTCAAAATTTATGCAACTGAATGGTGTAAGTTAAAACCAATTTGAACTTTGATTAAAACAACTTCTGAAATAAAGCCTAAAATAAATTACAATCGTAAGATGAAGTTACTTTTAAACTTTCTTTGTTATACGTGTATATTTAACAAAAACACATTTGAACCACTTCAACATTGCAAATAACATAGGTAGCCCTCTTGTGGTGTCCTTCACAACCACACAGATCTAGTTATTGTTTGATACTTTGATACCAAGGTCAGACGTAAGAAAACAAAGTGATTGGATGGGTTATGAAATCAAATAAGAATCTTTTATGTAGATTCGCTAGATATATTAGTTTTAGTAACACTTACAGTTAACTTATAATCTGTTTGTATAATTCTACACAAATGTTTGAAAACTCTGAGTAACGAGGCAAAAGAGGCTCTATAGACTAAAGTGTAGTTTCACAGTTTGCAGAAGACTAAACTGTAGTTTGTAATAAACAGTAGGGAAATTCCAGAATTTGGACGTGGTAAAAATGAGATATTGTTGAAAATTGAAACCTTTTTTAAATGACAGGTTGAAGAAGTGCAATTGCTAATATTAGTTTCAGTGGTAATCAGCGAAATAAATGGGCAGGAGTTTCTTGTCAAATAATTTAGCTTGGATACAGTTTGAAAGTTGACGTTTAATAAATAAAAGTATATAACTAGATACGAATGTAACCCAGATGTTTAAAATAGTTACCGTTAAGTACTGGGATAAATTTACGAATATGTTTAGTGGAAAAAATAGTTTTTGTTAATGATACACAAGTAACTCATAATACGCATTTAAGTTTTGCCTCCCCCCCCCTTGTTTTTGCTTATTAAAACTGATTTTGTTAAGAATATACTTTGGTTATTTTCTGTTGTTTTGAAAGAAAATTTAATACAGTTGGTAAGTTACTATGTTTTTTGTGGAAATAAAAAGCACCATCTGCCTACATTCTATTCTAACTCCTCAAATACTTATCAAGCTAGCCCCTTCTTGAATTCTCCTAATCTTTTTGCAGGCCCAGCATGGCCAGGTGGATAAGGCGCTCGACTCGCAATCTGAGAGTCGTGGGTTCGAATCCCCGTCCCACCAAACATGCTCGCCCTTTCAGCCGTGGGGGCTTTATAATGTGACAGTCAATCCCACTATTCATTGGTAAAAGAGTAGCCCAAGAGTTGGCGGTGGGTGGTGATGACTAGCTGCCTTCCCTCTAATCTTAAACTGCTAAATTAGGGACGGCTAGCGCAGATAGCCCTCGTGTAGCTTTGCGCGAAATTCAAAAACAAACAAACAATCTTTTTGCATCTACCTTGCCTGAAGGCAATCTATTTCAAAGTCTGACCACCATGTTCATAAAATAAGATTGCCTAATTTTTAGACATCTTTTATTTTGCCAAATGTGAAATTTATGTCCCTTGCTTCTACTGCTATTACAATTAAACATGAAAAAAGTTTGTGCATTAATTTGATCTATTTTAAAACCTTTAGTCAAATCTCTTCTTTTCTTAAGAAAAAATAACTTTACACACTGTAACCTATCCTCATATGAAGCCCCTCCATCAAAAGAATCTTTCAAGTAGGCCTCCTTTGAACTGTTTCCAACAACTCAGTGTTCTTAAAGACTGAATATAATACTCTAAATGATGAGATATGTACAACGAATTTGACTTATGTTCATTATTCCTGCAAATACAACCCAAAATCTTAGTTGCTTTCCTGCTAGTGTCAACACACTGTCTGGAAGGCTTAAGAAACTGCTCAGCCAAAACACCAAGAACCTTTTCTTCCATAAAGCTATTGAAATGTTTTACAGCAAGGTGGTAATTATAGTTTAAATTAAGGTAATTCACATACATTACCTTGTATTTAGCATAATTAAGTGCCATCTTTCACTTATTTGTCCAATCTGCCAAATGATCTAAATTTCTTTGTAAAACAATAGCATTTTCATCACAACCAATTATACCCTAAACTTGAATATCACCAGCAAATTTGACCATTCCCTTATCAATATTGTATTTCACTGAAGTTTCCCTTGCAATGCTCCTATTACAGGCATTATGTGTTATGAAATACAAGGCCAGAGATTGAGTAAGCATATACAAACATGTTCCACAATAACATCATAGGTGTCATGTTTGTGCATAGTTAGGAAGAATGTTTATTTCAATGCTAGACTTCATGTTGAGAAAATACAGAAAAAGGTATCAAATTTAGGAAAAAGATTACTATTGTATATTCATCTGTCAAAAGGATCAATGACAGCTTATTAACCTATGATAAGCAAAGAGTTTTGTAATGATGCTGACACAAACTTGAAGGTGATAATATGTCAGTAAAGTGATGGTAATGATCACATGGTGGGTAAAAATTCTCATTCAAGGTCAACCTTGGATTTATAGACTGGGCACATGAGTGGCTTTAATTGAACTAATGCAATCCTAGTGGATAATTTACCAGATAGAGCATGCAACTATGCATTTTTGAAAAGACAGTAGCATCCACGTGCTGCTTTTTTGCAATCCAATAAACTAAATAATATCAGAACATTTTGTATAAAAGGTTGGTAAGATCTGCATCCATTCAGTCTTCATCAAGGCTCTACCAAGCTGCTAGCTGCACCACCTATACAAGTATTGGTTTTCCATTGAGTATAGTATTTTGTTGTCTCATTGAGGATTTCTTAAATGCTTTCATGTACAAAGTTTAGAAATATTTATTGTTGACTTAGTGTTTGGAGAATGTAAAGTTATTTCTAGTATTAATAAATGTATTTTCTTTCTTGTAAAAAGTCTAACTCATTTTTTATTCATACATAAATTTCTCTGAGTTGGTGATCTATATGAAAATGCCACTGACTGCATTCCTGGTTTTTTAAATAAATACTATTTATAATGCATAACTGTCCCTCTGATAGTGTCTATTAGAATTGGGTGAACATGATTGGTAACAACATTCTTGTTTATTCTGGATGTGCTATTCACCCCCAATAAGAGTATCAAGTATTAAAATAACACAAGCAAGATCAAATACTTTATGGTTTTCTTCCAATTTTTACATTATCTTCAGTATGGAAAAACACAAAACACTATTCATTAGATTATCACCTAACCTATGCTTTTCCAGTTAAGCAATTTTTGACTGCTTAACAGCTGTGAATTGGTAGTTTTTATAATGTTTTTGCATAGTACAATTGGAGATAGTCGTACCCTGACCACTTTTGAAAGAATTAGGGCATGGTATGAAATCTCTTGCACTTTAGAAATTTGTCCACTCACATTTTTTTACCTTGATCTTTCACCAGCAGGTTGTCAGTTTTCCTGGTGGGAGGCTGTTTCTTTTCAATTATCACCATTGATAACACATGACTACAGATGTTTTTGAATATCCAAACAAAAACAAAAGATTTTGATAATGATACTTGTCCCGGTAATTATAGACCCATTAGTCTTACATCAGTTGTGGGAAAATTTTTCTGAAGTCTGTTAAAAGATGATTTGCAAGGTCATTTAACAAAGTTTAATGGATAGTCATACGAGGA